AGCTGTAATGTGGAGGTGGACCACCCTAGACATGACTACAGGCCTTGTCCTTTATTTATGGGAGTATCGGGGGAGGTTCATCTGTAGAGAAGCAGCATTCCCTTGGGTCACCCTGACTGCTGGCGTCCTGTGGATTGCACTGTGGGAGCCTGCACTCACAGGGTTATCGGCCAGATCGCTTTCACGGTATCCTTCGCGACCAAAGCCAAGACAACATGAACTGTCTGAGAATTTGCCCCGAAGTGAGCTCCTGCAGGACGATACAGAGAGAGCTATAAAACCTTTCTTTGATCCTTCTGCTACAACTGGTGAAGTGCTGCACTGAAGTATGCCCCTCTGGAGTCCCCCTGCCTGCTCTGTCTCCTGTCGTCTCTGCAAAAGGAAGCGGCACCAGCCCTCTGTGATCCCTGCACCCCCCTGCACCAGGATGTTGCTCTGCACTGCCGCCGATGGGAGCTTGGCAGTGACTTCAATGCAACCAGACGTCTACGCAGGGTCTCCCATTGTGCTCGGTCCTGTTATGAGAGACATAAAAGGAAGAAGGCACTTCTTACATTCTCCTACGTGACCCAGAGCAACAGCTCCGCGTGTGGATTTTTTGTTCTTTTGGGGAGAAGGGAATGAAGGTGGGTCTAGTAAAATAAATTGCAGGACTTTTTGTTTTGATTAAAGCCTTTGTGTAACTACCGCTTGTATTTTCTGTAGTCACATTCAAAAGGCTACACTCACAATAGAAGGCAGCTTATTTTTAAGGTGAGAGGAAGAATTGACAAAAGGTTACAGTAAAGCAAGAAAAGCTAACAACGTTGATAAAGTATGCCCTTACTATAAAATTATCAGCCCTAATCCTTACTTTGATATAAATCTGGTTTTGGTTTCCAGCTGCAGGCTAAAAATTGTTGCAGTGATAATATGCTTTCTCAAATACAATGGCAAGGTGAAAGAAAAGCAATCCAAATATACATATCAAAACTAACCATGTTTTCTTATGTTAAAAAGGCATTTTTTGTCTCTGGAGAAATGCCACATTCATGCCTAAAGCATAAAATACAGTGAAGGAATAGATGGCCGTATTTAAAACATGCAGATGAGCTCCAGAAACTTCTAAGGGCATTAGCATAGCTGGCTGCAAAGAAGGTACTATTTATCTTAGGAATCACTGGGTAATGTGTAACATATACAGAAAAGAGAGGTACAAGGTCAGCTCTCTTACGCTTAGGAGCCCTGGTAGTTTGGAATTGGAAGTATTTTTTATGAGGTTCTCTGCCATTTAACTTCTAGGAAAAAATACCGTAGAAAACAAATTATTTCAACCTTTCCTTTTCTCTCTCATTTTCTGTGTAGAAAGCAAGATATTTTCTTTTTTTTTAAATCTTGAGAGTGCCTGAAAACTAAGAATAGATGAAAGAGAAAAATACTAACCAGCTTCTTCCAGAAAAATTCCTGTATCTATAGATTCATATATTTTAGGGTTTCAAAGGAACATTATGATTATCTAGTCAGAACTGCCTGACAGGCTGTAAAACCTCTCCAAGTAATCTCTCCATCAAGCATATAACATCTGTTTGAGTAATTGCATACCTCGTAGAGAGATACCCAGTCATAACTTAAAGGCTGCAAGTGATGAAGTTCTGCAGTCCTTACTCAGAATTTGACTCAATGAAAACATTGGCATATTCTGCTGTCTGTTAGGTTTGGAGGAACAGAAAGAAATACCTGGCTTTAAATAGAGCCTTGTTTGAAATCTGTATGAATAAACTGTACAGAATTTAAAACAAACAAAAAGAGAATGCATCATAAGAATACTTGTGCACCGCCTTCTCTTTTGTAAGGACGCAAAACCATGTTCTATCCTTTTTCTTGGGCTTTTCAGAGAACACTGACAAAACAGATGAATCCTGCAGGTGGATCTCTTTGGGTTTAAGCTGATTTAGTTTTCTAATTCAGTGACCTATAGGAATAGTTTCCAGCCCTCTGTATGATGCATTGTTCCTAATATACAGTCTAGTCTTGTTTTACGTGTGGTAATGCTCCAACTTCAGTATCTTTTTAAAGATACTAATGTCAAGAGACTTACAGCAGAGGCAGCAACTTTAAGTAGTGAGATAAGTTCTCTCACAGGTGCCATAGAAATTCAATCTTCCATACGCTAACGAGACTTCAGGTGTTCAGACTTGACACCAGGGCAAAATGGTGACTGAACTGCTCACTTACTGACAAATACCACGAAAGCATCTGAGCTTTGTGGCAGAAATAAGGACTAACTGGCATTCTGATCAACATATTTGTGCCTGTGGTGGAAGCTGTATAAATATACTTGGTTGTTAAATGTGATCAAGAAACCTGATAAATATATATAACCAAAAGATGGCATTTTCTGAACAGATGCGGATGCATCTATCTATGCGGATAGAACATGGTTTTGCGTCCTTACAAAAGAGAAGGCGGTGCACAAGTATTCTTATGATGCATTCTCTTTTTGTTTGTTTTAAATTCTGTACAGTTTATTCATACAGATTTCAAACATATGTTCACAGATCATGTCAGGATGTGAACCTATGCTCGTATGCAACTTTAAAGTACACACTGCCAGAAATTACTTGCCCTCTTTCAGACGCATTAATAAATAGTAGAAAAATATTTCAGTATACAATAACATTGCTAAAACATGATCATACTGGTAATCTTGTTTTCTGTGGTAGCGAACATTATGCATACATAAACATTCAAACTATGGTAGCTCTGCTCTTTGAAATAACAAATGTTTCCAATAGTAATTTGCACCATCCGATACAAGAATAGATTTTGCTTACATCCAGTGGTGTCCTGCTATTGCTTGAATTGACTGTCATAGCTGAAGGTCATGGAGTGACTCGGTGCCAATACAAACAGATGAAATACTGGGAAACCACTTTTAAAAAATCTTACCTTACTAAAAGCAAGCTCAAACTCCTGAAAAATGTAAACTTTGAAAAGAGAAGCATCAGTCATGGCTTCTCAGCTCATCTTTCAAAGTTAAATCAACACAAAAAGCAGTCGTAATATTTGCACACCTAAATAAAACAAGCTAGGATTTTACTTTGGGACTTAAAACAGCTCAGTTCATTTCCCTAGTCAGATAGAGACTTCCTGTGCGACCTTGGATAATTTGTTTGGGACAAGGTTTCTGAAGTATGTAAATGCCTACATGTACATTTAGATGTGCATTGGGGTATTTGCTACAGATTCTCATAACAGGCGCTGAAAATGAGTGCATATCTACCTTTAAAATTATCTTTAAGTGTTTTCCCAAGGGTAGTCTGTGGATGACTAGGGGTCCACAAGCCCATGAATCTGGGCTATTATAAATGATGAAATTCAGAATTATTTTCACTTTAAATGTTGGTGATAAGGTAATATGGTGCTCATGAAGCCTTTGAGAACTGATAGTGCTCTAGGAGAGTAGACTCTGTTCCCCTCTGTAATATGAGAACAGCTGTACCTTCACTAGGAGCTGTCAAATAAACACAGGACACATTGTGAGACAGTCATATCGTGTCGTAATGTAGCCATATTTCAAGCTTGAGTTAAGACAAGGAAAAGAAAATATCCACTTGCTGCATAAAGAATATATATTTGTTCGGTAACTTGTTCTCTCTATTTCCACAGTTCATCAGAGGAGGGAGAAAGAATGCATCTCAATTCTCATATAAAAATATAAATTAGGTAGAGAGGAGTCCTTATGCCAAAAATTGATAGCATGTAAGTAGCAGAAATCGCACAGTTGAGTGTTGTTCAGTACCTCCTGGAAGTTGCTCAGCACCTCAGAATCAGGGCAGAATTTGTATATTTGTTTCAGGCTTGACTCTGTAATACTAAATTAAATGAGTCATCTTTAACTTATGCAGAAAACCCTTGAAATCAAGAGGACTAATTACACAAAAATCACTCAAGACAGAGGAGTTGCAGTGAGGCGCTAAGAGAGCACAACTGCATGCACTTTTAGACAATTGAAAAAGCTCTTTCCACAATGCACGTCACATTTGTATGAATAAGCTAATTGCTGACTGGAAGGCACTGTTGGTGTTTATTAAACATGATGGCTCAGAAGCAACATCTGGCTCAAGGAATCCCTTGATTTGAGGAGCCTGGAAGGGATATCAGGGAAAAATAATTTAAACGTATTTCTTATAATCACTCATAAGCATTTGCTATGAGCAACCATCAGAGGTGGCATAAAGCAGAAAGCGGTTACTCTGACAGTTACTATAGTCCAATGCTTGACTGTCACAGATTCCACCACATGTATGAGAAACTATATTACAGTTAGAAAAGGACAGTCTCAGATTTCTAGATCATAAACTTCAACATTTACACCTGTCATTTTTTACCTGCCACAGTGGACCATTAAGATATGTCTACCGAGGGTCTTTATGTTGACAAAGTAGATAATGCAGATACTACAATCAGATTGCTGTATGCCATTTAACAGTTTAGTTTTGCTATACTTTTTAGTTTTATAGAAATACATTTATTCTTTGTACTAAGAGGCAACAAACTTTTCTGCTTCAAATTATTCAACTATGGTTAGTCCACTTTAATTATTGCATATAAAAGTGTTTTATTCTTTTCTTCAATCAGACTGAGAGAGATCACTTAGAGCATTCAACTAGAACAGCCTCAATAAAAACTAATCAAAAGCTCCTGTGAGTCTGAGCATGGGATCTGGTAAACTCAGTAACAAATAAAACATAATTCTAAACATTCATGTTTACAAAAAAAATTACAAAGTCTGAACAATAAGTTAATAAAGGGAAATAGTTATCTACTGTTCAGATATAAAAATCCCAGCAACTTAATTTATATAACACTATAGCAGACATGACAAAATTGTGAATAATGCTATCCACTGTCATAAGTGGTACTTCAAGATTTCCAACAGAAAACTTATATTTTAATTTTCTGTTCATATAGCCAAAACCACTGTCATAAGTGGTACTTCAAGATTTCCAACAGAAAACTTATATTTTAATTTTCTGTTCATATATAGCCAAAAGTAAGAGGCAAAGCCAGCCTAATAGTAATCCAAGGTTCTGTAGGAGAAACATCAACCAGGGTCGCCGTGTCTGAATGTGAGTCATTTCAGGAAGGTAAAAAAAGAATAAGACACCAGAATGAGAGCCAGATATATTCATTTCTGGGAAAAAAAGTCTTATGGGAAAACAAGGCAAACTTCATTTAAAAAAACTTTCAAAATGCTGAGTTTCTGAATATAGCTATTAATCTGCAGCATGTTCTGTACATCGTAACAACACTGATCTTGACAGTGAAATATTTAAATTAATCAAACTCTACCCATTTTGGTTCTTTTACTAGCACCGACAAGAATTATAAATGAGATTCCAATATCTGTTAACTTCTCGATAGTTTTTAGTAATTTTATACAGCTGTCTGTAAGGAAATGCTTATTTAGTAAAATTAGTGATTCCCTTTTGCGGGAATAAACTAGTTTGAGATTTTTTGTTTCAGTACTATATATAGGGTCAATTCTGCTCTTACTGAAATTACTGGCAACACTCCTATTTACTTGGGCTTTAGTAAACATACAAATAGAAAACAGGATTTTTTAAACATGCTTGAAAAAATTATGTTTAATATTTTTCTCTGTGAGTTTTAAATCAAGTTAAAAGCTACTTAGATTGACCTTCCACCCTATATGGTCTCTTTTATCACAGTTTTAAATAAAATGTATGTCTCAACAGAGCCTGTGAAAATGATGCCTCAGGCTCAGACTCTCTCAGTATTTATGCGTTATGTATTATAGACACCAGGGGAGACACTAATGACTGCTGATCATTTCACGTCAACTTTGGAAATAAATACAGAGCAATGGCCTGGTACTGACCTTTGGTTTTGGTTGGGGTTTTTTTGTCTATTTGTTGTGAACTTCAAAACAAGAGCGAGTGGTCCTGGCACTCTCCCATCACGTTGCCTTCCTGCTCCACTCACAGCCTGTGCTTGAATGAAGCTACTCGTTTCCTCTGCTCTTTAGAGCCTCCTCACAGGAGCTGTAACTGCATCAGCCACTGGGAGACAGTGGAGTGGTGCTGACCAAGGAAGCTAACAGGGTATGTTTACATCTATTTGCTATGCTCGTCCTTCCCTCTGTCAGAGGGGGGTCTCTGGGTCTGCTTCTCCTGCACTCTTCTTTCTCTGGAAGTTGGCATGGGCCCAAAAGAAAACTATAGTGAAAAATCTGCCTCCACTTTAAAGTTTTGCATAAAAATAACAGGCAAACCCAAAGGTCCTTGATCTTTGCAACAACTAGACAGTGGTTTAAATTATGGTACAAATTTGTGTCTTAGAAACCCATGTAGTTACATTTAATTTGTATTTAAGGATCATCAGAAACATTTAATCTAAAGCCAATGTAAACACCTCAAAGTTCTGATGTAAATCAAAATCTGAACTGACAGCTTGTAAGTGTTCGGAGCACGTGGGTTTTGTTTTGTATATAAGTAAAAACTGTTAATTAAGACCTAGGCCTGAATCCAAGGTTCCAGTCTAGACCTTTGTTCTTTCTAATTTATCCTTATAATCAGTCTATTTTGTCTTCTTCCCCAGCGCATGAGTGAACAAGTTCTCTAAATAGGAAACTTTTTCCCCTCCCACTGCAAAAGCTAGTATTTGCTCTTATAGCTGTCAGTGCCAATTTATGAGTTACACACACGGACAGTAGGTTCCTAAGAAAGTTTTAAAAAGGAATTCTCAGCAGGTAGTACCCTTCCTATGTCCCATGCACATCTCTGCTCCCTCCACCTAGCCTATGTGCATGTTATCAAGCGCACAGACCATTTCTATAGCCTTACCTAGTGTGACATCCCTGCTTCTCTTTGAAAATAAAAGCTGATTGCTGACACAGTATCAGCCATTGTTCCCCAACTCTCTCTGAACTCGCCTATACACAAATGTGTGTGGTACAGCAGAGAAATGCTTGTTGTTTGGGAAGCGTAAGCCTATTCAACTGGCAGATGCAAAGCACTTCACAAATTAAGGGAAGATAGCACCGCACCCAAGCTGTTGGATGCCATCACACTTACTAATGCTTGAAGTCTGTTGGAGGTAAAAGAGTTACTGTTAATCAAGGGACTACTCTATTCCCACTCCAGCTCATGTTTTCATCATGAGCACACAAAAGATATAAAGAATTAGGAAGCAGCATGCTGAAAGAAGGCATGAGGGGCTCTCAGCCATGTGCTGGCTAAACAAGACTTCTACCAACCCGGGACATATATGGCACGACTGCTGCACTGCTACAGTCTGATAAATCACTTTAAAAATACTCCTTTATCTCCAAAATCAGAAAGATTTTTAAGGTTAGTCAGAGGAAACGTCAGTTAGTTGCCTCAAGGAGTGGTTGGCTAGCTCCTATTTCTTGTCTTATCCCTATTGTCTTTCTTGCTTCTATCTCCCTCCTTTCAAATTAGACAGTAAGTCTTTCTGGTCGGGAACTATATAAACCAATAGGATCTGTACAATCAGAAATGATGTCCCAGTCCTTGGGGTTTAATACAATGCATGTGATTTCATAAATACTTATCCATAATGATTACTTCATAGATACTCATTTAAGAGGCTGATACAGGATTTTAAAGTTTGTTTCCCAAGAGGAAAAGGGGACATGTTTTGTCAAAGAAACAATTCATTAGGAGTGAGTTGGTCTGTTCTATTCCATATATTGGTGTCTCAAGTTTCAATTCAGATTAAAGGTATGTTAAAGAAAAGGTATGTTATTAATTAAAAGATCTTTGGAAATAGTGCAAAGTTATGATTGTACTCATGACCTCTAAACAGATATCAAGTACAAAAAATCTCACTGTACTGCTCATAAAAAGCTGTTTTTCAGGGGATTTAATTTTGGTTAAACAACAACTAAACCCACAATATTACAGGTGTTTACTCACATGCATATCTTGAAGCAACAAACAATTTACGTTGCAATATTACACCTGTGCATACACATTTGCAAGACAAAGTACTCCTCCCTTCACTTTCCCCAACTACCGGGAAGATGAAGTTTTGCAGAATTCCTTGGTGAAAAATGATGAAGGATATAAATAATTTTATCTTTCGTCCTTTTCCTTAGATTTCTAAAATGATTAGTCTACCCTGCTTGTTAATGGAGCTAGAATGCCATTTGTAGAAATGAAAAAACTTTAATTAACCACAGAAGTAGTTTCGTGCAACCTTGACTGAGGTGGCCGTCTCACAGTGCTGTCCTGTCAATGAACCTCCACTTCATACCCCTCAATGTTCCTCAATGCGGACACCAGCGAGGCTGTTCAGTTTTATTTAACTGCTGCTCTCTGAACTCCTGCTCTGACAAGCACATGAATATGTGAAAGCCCATAAAACGAATACTGAAAGTTACAGTTAAGCTTTGTACACCATTAAGTATTTGTACACCATTGGCAGGAACACTGATGATTGCTATTTGTAGATGAGAATGCAGCAGAGAATAGAAGTTATTTCTGTGCAGAAAGTTAAAAAATACGTAAAGCATGGCTGATCTTCTTTTGAGATGTACTATGCAAACATATGAAACTTTTCAGATCTATAGATTCCTGCATTTTTTTAAATAAAATAATCCCTGTGATATTCAACACTTGCACTTCTGACAAACACAGGTGAGCAACCCAACGGCAGTTCTTTTGACAAAATGCAGAGAAAGGCTAATTGGAATCCTATTCGTAAAAGGGAGGTGAGAGAAATAAGATCCTCCCCTCTCTGTCCCTTCTTTCTCCTCTTCACCTCAAGAACAAGATTATGGTGACAAGCTGAGAACAGGGGAAAACATGTCCCTGTCTCTGCCTGGAACGGTGTCATCTCTTGGGATTTACAGCTGGCACATTGCTTTGAAGACTCAGGGAAAAACAGGTGTTGTTCTAGGAGCTTGTGAATCCCTGATGGATGCTGATCCTACACTACAGGAAAAATATGCCTAAATCATTCTTAGCCACATTAATAAAACCATGCCTATTGAGTAGGTAGGCAGCCTCACTTCCAAATTTCTTTGTGTCAGAACAAGATGCAACTTGGTACACAGTGTTCTTGTCTGTTATTTACCACCTCAGTCAGGACTGTTGACACATCCACAATCCTAAGGCAGTTCTCTCATCAGCTCTTAGGAGCACTTTATGTTCACTTTGCTTTTGTTACAGTAGCAAAAATAGACTAAAATACACCCAAGGTCTAAGGTCAATTATTACAAGTAGATTTTTAAATAGGTTATAATACTGGCATGGCATATCAGGTTTAAAGCATTATGCTTGAACCTGGTAAATGATATCTCAGGCATGAGGTGGGGGGTGGTAGTGAACACAACAGAGGCAGCCAGGCTTGGGAAAAACACAGTAATAATTTATGAAGAGGCAGACCTCTTTTTTTTTCCCTCTTGATCTAATCACTCAAAATATTCCGTCTTTGTTCAGAAGCTTGCAAGCAACTTTACATTAACATGCGTTGGTTAAAGAGCCGTGTGACAAAGCTGGCAAGGTAATTAAGTTCTGCAGTGTTACAAGTGTAACAGTTAGCCATCTCTTCAATAAATGATGTGGCCTGAGGCATTTGCATGAGTTATGATTTCACCACATTCTTCCACAGTCCTTAGACCTTCCTCCTACTGTATATCTTCACACTTTATTTTTTTATAGTCAGATCATTGCTGTTGAACTGGGAGTATGAAAAATGTTGGGCAAATATGAAGAAGTTGAGGCAATCTGATGGGTTTTTAATTGCTTAAGGGCTCATCCAAACCTCCCTGAGATAGAAAGGCTGGCCAGGAAGAGCACAGGATAAGCATCTTGCATTTTAGTTCAGAAACAGCAAATTCATGTTAAAACAATGGATGAAAACTATATAAAGAAAAGGGCAGTAAAAAGAAAAAAAGTAAACAACTTCTTCAAGATTTTAAAAAACCCTGCAGGTTCAAATGTTTCTTTATGTTGTATTAACTCTATCAGGCCTGAAAAATATATTGTTTATCTTTCCCCCTTTAAAAGTTCTTCATGCCTTCTCATATATTACCCTCTTAATGGTCTTTATTTGACCTTTTTATTACTAATTACACCTAGCATGGCAGTGACACGAAACAAAACCAGACTATTGTTCTAAGCACTGTACACACACAGGGCAGACAACATGCTCCTCCCAAGAAGCCTATGAACTCTTTTTCCTCCAAGTTCATCCACCTGCATTTGTCTGGCACTCATCTGTCATGTGGCTATGTTAAAAGGGAAATATAACAATAGACTGAAGTTCTCACCATTTCTGCTAAAGATAAATACAAGAACATTCCAGCTGTAACAGTAAAAATCCAGTTTTGAATGCATGGGTCAGTTGATACAGAAAGGCCAATATAAAGTCCTAAGAATGCTGTTAACGCACTTATGAAATTCATCAAAATTGCAATCTTCGTGGGGAGCCCTGTACTTAGCAGCACAGCAAAATCTCCTGCATAGAGAAAAAGACAGAAAATTTATTATTTAGCTGGTAAATGTATTTGTAAGGCTCTTGGTAATAAAACATGAAGGAAAATAATTAAGATATGCACAAAGATAGAGAATGATGGAGGACTGCCCTTAGATTTCTGTAGAATTAGTTATAAACTCATCCTGTGTGAAAAAAACAAAACCAAAAAACTCATATTGACTTGTATTTGTTTAGCTGTTCCTAAAGATAGCATACAGTATAGAGGAGCGGCTTTCTGTTAGTTCTCGATGTTCTGTGACATTTCCAACTTGGATACATGCAAAAGTGAAGTCACATGCTTTCCCAGAGTTTCTAAATCTTTCTCGACTGGGAACTTGCCAGTTCAAATCATGTGCGTGTATTTGCAGCATGGTCCTTGAGTGTTTTACAGGTGCTGCAAGTCAGAAGAACATATGCCAGTCTGATTCCAGTTTCAGTTCAATTCCACTGATTTCAGACATAATTAACTTTGGTAAATTGTACATCAGAATCCCATCACAGATTTTTCTTCTAAAATAAATTATTTCATAACAGGTCCACAGTAAAAGATTTTAAAAATTCTTCTCTGTGAGTGTAGAAATGCCACTTTGACACTGGGGAACTACTGCCCCAGAATTAAGAAGGTCTGTCTTTGGAGTTAACTGTTCAGTATTTTGGTAATTTCTTTGCTATGCAGACAAGAGTTACCAGTTTTACAGCAATTCCCTATCCCACCTTTTTGTTGGGGGAAGTTCTCTACATAGACAGCAGTTGAAATCTTCAGTCATTTAAGAATAGAAATGAGAATCTGCTGTTCTCATCTCAAACTTGCCAGCTTATATATGTTTATCAACACACTGTCAGGAACAACTTCAGCTGTACTGAAAGATTTACCACAAGGAGATAATTGAGGGCAATGTTCAATAGAACAATCTTCCTGTCCTGCCTGCTAGTAAAATGGGTCATATATCTTCTTTTATTATCTTGTTATTCTTGACTAGCAGCAGGAATGAGGGTAGCATGAGGAATACATTGTTAAATGGCTCTGCTGCATATTAAAACTCTTGGATAGCCCCTTGTGTCAGGCATGCCCATTATGCCCACATGGCTCTTGCTCACTATTTTTTGTGTCTGCACACATGAGAATAACGGGTCACTCTTGACCTGATGGCATTTACATTTGGAGAAGGTGAGATGGGATGGCATCCAATAATGAGGGCAGATGCCTCCCCTCCTTTTTGTGAAGGGAAAAGAGAAGAAAACAGCCTCATTATATATCCATCTCACACATTAATGTTATAGTTCATGATGCTATAAGCAAGAAGAATTTCCACTAATGTCATACAGGAAAGAATTCTCTGGGAAACCTGGAATTACAAAGCCAATCAGGAAAAATACATATACATATTTCTTACCCATTTCATGAGGAATTTCATGGCATAAAATAGCAATAGTCGTTGTCACACCTGTTTCTGTTGAGGACGAGAATGCTGCTCCTATTACCAAGCCATCAGCAAAATTGTGAAGACTGTCACCCACCAGAACCATTATTGCTAACAAGCTAATTTTCTTACCTAGGAAAAAACAAACAAACAAACAAACAAACAAAAAAGCCCAGAAGTTTTAACACAAACAGATATTGTCATTTTTGCTATGTTACAAATTATTTGGGGTTTTTCACATACAACATTATGAAAAGTCATCATAATCAGAGGACAACAGTGTTTATCTGTTTTGTTCTTGCTGTTATGCTTCTTTCAATACACTTGTAACGAAAAAGTAGGTTGTAAAATAATTCAGAGATGCAAATACCAGGAAGTAGCTTCTTTATTTTTACTTGGTCAACTATTAGACAAAAACTTAGAGTTTGGTTTGACTCCAGTCTCATGATATGTCCTAAAGTTTTCCACTAATCTTTCCTTGGTTGCTGAAATTCACACAAGTTTTCTTGCATTCTAGATGTTTTTTTTTCTTAAAAGGTGGGCGTTTTTCCACTGTCACTCATGGAATTGCACAGCTATAATGAAGATGAATATTTAGTCTCATGCAGCTGATCATTTTAATACTGTAAAGCATGTTACTACTGAGTAATATTTTCAGGGCTGTTTTTTATGAGATTATATTACAGTGAAAGATAGAGATGAAAGGCAACAAGCCTCAGAGTATCACTATTAGCACAGTGTTACAGCACGCTCATTTCCAACTTTTGTTCCAATCAATTAATGGCCGTTATGCTCATAGTGCTCCTGTCTGCAGCATCACTCATGGATGCAGATGGCTGTTTTTCTTTCCCATATTGTTCTGTGACCTTGCTTTAGTGTGGAACAGTACATTGGATGTTCATGATCAGGTATCTGACATGAGAGGAAAGGTGCTACTAGTGATAAAAGTACTGAAATCAAGCTAGAGGATTAGGGACAGTCTCTCCGTCCAGCCTGTAACCTGGACAGCCATGTAGCATGCTGAATGGATTAATGCGGAGGGATTTTATGTCTTCAAGTAGCAATGAGGCTCCATACATAGGCTCAATGACTAGGCTTAGCAACATGTAATTGGCTCCCCTATCCTGTACTTTGTTTCATCCATTTTATCCACAATCTTACAATCATGACCTTCTAATACTTCTCAGGAAACTCATCCAGCTTCCCTCTACACAGTATGAACAGAACACTTTGCAAAAGGTTGCTTTTATGCCTGAAGAAGCAGGGTCATGATTTGGGGCCTAAACATCATGCATTTTCCTGACTTTTGTTGGCCCAACACAGACATAGTATGACAGTCTAAGGAGCTAACGTGGAGCTGCACAGAACTGTCTGAATATAGTTATTACAAGGTTTCACTTCAGTAATGTTTTTCCAGAGATGACCATTTTATAGTGATGGGGGAGATGTTTTTCTTACAGAAACTGGCTAGAACTGAAGTCTTCAGACTATTATAAAAAAAACACACAGCACATAAAAGCCCAACGACTGTATTCAGAAAATCCTCCCTAGTTGCCTGGGAGCTCTGCGGGTTCAGAAAACTTGGCAGGCTTGTTAGATTTTCCTGCCAGCTTACGGAGCCAGACGTGGATGTCCCCAGTTTGCACAGTTCTTTCTAAACACTATGGGCAGTTTATAATCAATAGTGCAGAGCATGAATTACATAGAAATAATAGATTGCTGCATTGCATTAAGTTTGTGATTTGCAATAAGCACTGGCAAGGATGAAATCATGGCCTGCCCTGAGATCTTATTACTCTGTTTTATCCAAGTATCTGATCGTTGAAGAAGATATACCATAGTTACTGGACTCACTCCAGTGTGTTGTCTATAATATAACATAGGGATCAGGTTAACATTATGGAGCAATTGCAAATGTAAGCTTTGTGAACTTACTTGACTGAAAGTTAAGAAGATACATATGTAAACAAATCTGAATGTTTATCTTAATTTACTTTCAGCCTATTTTAAAGCAACTTGGTTACTAGCAATTATCTCACCGCATTATATTGCTGCAACAGTAACTATTAACTATCAACTTATTACCCTAACTATTTCTACAAAGCCTCTTCTTCTTAAACAACCCTACATTTATTTTTGATAATTTTCTCTGCTTAAATAGGGAATCGGAACTCATAGAAAATTCTATTCCATAATTTTCATAAAGCTAATGGATGCAGGACTCCCATGATAGATTACGCTTTTTAGGCTTTGAATAAGAGTTTAAAGCAAACATTTATCCATAAATAGATCTTTTTTCCAGTGTTGTCATTACTCATACAGCAAAAATATTTCTAGCTAATGTAAAGTCTCACCAAGTATATCAAATATACTACTGTTTGATCTTTTCAGATATTGATAGAACAAGCGTGGATAAATGAGGAGAGGGCCAGTGAGACATCTTTTTCTTCCAGTAGCTTCTTGCTTTCTGAGTTACTCACTGGCTATCTAAGGTGACTGACTCCTCTCACAGTCCTACTTGACATGTGTTTACAGTGAAGTCTGGCATTTCTGGAGATGTCAGGCTTCTGTCTTAGAGCTGCAGATTCCATTCCATTTTGGGAAAAAAACACCTAAAAGTTTAGCTCAGTATCAAGGTACCCAGGCATGTTTATGCATTTAGCTATTCATAAGAACTGTGACAATACAAACTTTTGAAAATATGTATTCTCAAAAAAACCCTAAAACAAAACACTCCCCCTTCCCTACTATGGTTTCACTTAGTGATTTCTAATATAGAGGTAAAACTGAGGTATGAGGAAAAAATGGAACCAAAGAACATTACTGAAAACTATCCCTAATTTAGTTATACACCAAATTTAGTTATTTGGAACAAATAACATTGAGATCACTAGAAATTTGTTTGTGCTTAGAAGGTAGTGATGATTGAACAGAATGGAAACATCTAGAGATGGACTACATAGTCACACTGAAACTGGCACTGGATTGTGTACTGTGAGACTGAAGAAATGGAAATCCAGATTTCAAACGCCTCAGAAATGGAAATGAAGTCCACAAGAACAGAGAAGAATATTAAAAACCTGGAAGAAGATAATGACATTGTTAAAGAAATCAAACTGATGACGTGAAATCTGAGATCACAAAATAAAGGGGAGTTGAATATAGTAAATAAATTGATTTCAATTAAAATGTTATTCCCTCAGTTGAATGGCTGCAACTCTACTAAATTCACCAAGGTCACACAAGCACAGTCAAAGGCAGAGTTTGGTTTATGCTCTATTTCCCCGGTTTTTGGACTAAGCAGCAACAAAACAGAGAAGATAGGAATTACTTTGAAGCTCACTGAAGAAACCAGATTGTGCTAAAACTGAGAGCCATCGTGAGCCCATAATTCCATACATGTAATAAATCATTACTGGTTTAAAGAGACTATTGCTTTACTGTGTAAGAGAGGAAGGAAGCAGAACTATATTAGTATAGTGAGCCAACAAAACAATTGTTTCACTACCTTCAGAAATAAAAGCCGAAGCAAAGTTTACAATTATAAAAATCTGGTTTGTATTAAATTTTGAATATTTCCCTTTAATCAAATGCTTTAGAAAAATGGTTTGTAACAGTGAGTAAATAAATAGTAAAGCATGGACAGTGTAGGGTTAATGAACTTCACAATTACAGGGTTGGCAGCTGAAAAGGTCTTTAAGCAGAGATTAAATTATGTAGCCAAGCACCATCAGATGTGGTGATGTAGCACATAGCAAACGCAGAGCTAAGCCAGCTTCACACTTTTAATTCCATCTTAGGTCTGATGGCTTTTCCTGGTACTTGTCTAGTCTTTTTATTGATACTAACTTTTTTTGCTGATCGCCTTACTCTCTGGAGGAACTTCAGCAGACTCAGAATCTTCTGGGCTTCTCTATTTAAAAGCAAAGAAAATGGATCAGTGTTAAGGGGCTCTTCCAGCTGCTGCTATAAATACAGGAAAATATCAAATAAGTTCAAGCTTTTGGAATTAAAGATAGTCTGTTATTTGCATTGATATAATTAGAATTATTTATTGAGCACTGGTAGTGTGATTGGTACTGCAGAAACACATAAAAAAGACATCTCCCTTGCCCAGAAAAGATTACAGTCTAATTCAGGTAGGAAGAAAGACATCCCTAAGCACTGTTGTAACCCAAGAAAATCATGTTTCTGCTTGAATACACAAAAATCTGAGCCAAATGCAGAACTAAAAAGGACATTATAATTCAAATTGTATCTTTTGATTTTGTGATGACCGGATGATTGTCGTTTCTTGCTGGATAGGGTGCGTATAGGATTTCCAAAGAAAAATGGCTACACACCAGAGTCTCTTTGGAGTTCATGTTCTTCACAGTTACTCTGTGAAAACACAAGACTCAAAAAGATGATCATAGGTAGGTTTCACACCCTTTTAAAATACAAGGTTTTTTTCTTCAGGGTCGTACAGTCTCCAGTGCCTTGCCTTTTGGCCTTTAGTTAGGGCTTTGTCTTGGCATTAGGCATCACCGGCTGGGCGTAGCAGCACATGAGTACACTCCACTGCAATGAGTGAAATCTACCTTTATTTCAAGTGAAGAAAGAGACAGTATCTTTGTCCTCATCCTAGAGAGTTAATTTGATGCATCAGCCCTAATGTTTAATTAACAGAAACTGCAACTGTGGGGAGAGAAGGGAGAACATGAGGAATCTCTCTTCCCTTCTACCTCCCTGGGGCTTTTCTTTCTGACTAGAGAAATTATTAGAAATTTGTGCGAGGGTGAGATAAGCCAAAAAACTTGTTTGCTTGAAACTAGAAAAACTGAATTTATAATCACTGTCTTTTCTTTTTTTTGGCCAAAAAAGCATATTAAAGCTATTATGGCAGCTAGTGAAGAGTCAAGAGCAGCACGAAAGAGTGTTTTGTTAGGGACAGCAGCCACCACTCCAACAACTATAGCAGAGATGTGTACTGGCTGCAAAACAGGATATGTTTCTTGGCTGGTATTAGTTTGGTTGTGATGTGGGATATGTGCTGTAGAAGCATGAGGAGGGAAAGGAAAAGATTTGGTTTTTAAATTCTACATTTTAAAGGAAAAATAAAAGTCTCTAATTCCCATGATTGCAGCCAGTCATATGAATTCCAGTAATTGTTCCACTTCTCTTACAATATTTATTCACATGCCATTTCTTTGAACTCTGAGTCAAAACTGCAGGACTAATCACTGACCTGAAGGATTTATAAGCTTTTCTTAGTCAACCAGTGTTTGTCTTACTATTACTCACATGATTCTGAAAAATTGGCCGTTCTCGTACAAACTAGCTAAGGCAGGCTAGTTCATGTGAGCTATACATAACTTTAGGGCAATCTTGCAGCTGAGAGGAATGACAAGGTCGTTCATTATCATAAACAGGAAGCTATGACGTGGCTCACAAATTAGTAAACATTCTTCACTCATCTGTTTGCTCTGCATTCAGTTGAGTTTCCCAACTGTGTTTGACAGATTAGCAGTGGCTCATGAGGCTCTTACCCACCACAACTGCTTTAGTAAAATGGAGTTCAATTATAGAAGATCTCTGGAGATTCTGATTTAAATAACCAGGAACCTATGTATCTAGATACTACATACAAACTGAAGAGATTTGTTGGAAAAAGAGAAAACAGGTTAAAAGGTATGAGTCCATTTACTTTGCAAAGATATATCTGTCTGGATACTCTCCACAGACCAATAGAAAATTATGTAACTTCTTATAGGTAAGCACCATCCAGCTTGTTTATGTTACTCTTCAAATCTCTGGAAAAATGCCCAAGAACGGTCCAAGATTTCATCTGTTCACTAATTACGCACTTAACTCTCACTACAGAAAACCCTGAAGTTTTTCCCATGGGAGAGTCTGTCCTTACATATGATAAATTCTTAAAAAGAAGGGAGGAGGAAAATCTTCAAAAATTTTATCAACAAAAGGTAGTACAGGAAGTGTATTGTTATATCAATCTGATACACACTTAAGAAAAGTTATTGTAAAAATCTGTGTTTGAAATCTCTGTAAAGGCTCATTATAAACTTCAAAATCTAGAGATTCCTGACAATCATGTCATGTAATAAAGGACAAATCAATAAAGACTAAAAAATAATACTGATTTATTACATTAATTTTGTTCATTCTTTTGAGGAACAGAGAAAGAAGGATATAAAATCAGGGAAGTTCGTCATATTGGTAACCTACCAACTGTATGGTTGAAGTAGATTTGCCTCTGCCTGAATGTTCATTTAATTCAGATTCCACTGGAAGATCATGGGAATGTCCCCAGTGCCCATTAACTAAAGAAAGGCCCTGCTGAATGAAGATGCTTTGCAATTAGTTCTGAAACCAAATGAACACAGGTGCAATCTTTCTCAGCCTTTTGTGAAAGTTTTGCATTTATAAGAATTATTTTTTCAAAACAAAACCCATTGAAAAAGATTGTTGGCTGGCATCAACATTTCCTAATGCTTATTTGGTTAAAAAACCACTGAAAAGTGAATCAGATAAATCAGTGACAACCATAATGGTTTGATAAAACTTATTTTGTTTTAGAACTGAAGATTATAATTCAAAGCTGAGATGGATATAAAAATTAACTTTGAGAATTCATCTAGTTCTCAGTAGAACAAGTTTAAAAATTTGTGGGATAATGATAAAGCCCTTCTCTCCAAATAAGTAACAAAAAGGACTATTTTTTAACAACCAAACAAAATATCACCATCATCAAAATATTCTCCTTCTATTAATCTCACATAATATTCTTATGGCTGACTCAAAGATAGCGGGAATAGGGACTCATTGCTACGCATCTAAATCAGGCCAGTCATTAAACACTCTCTGTAAAACAGAACAAGCAAAGGCTTAGCCTTCTGCAGTGACATTAAGATAGCCTCCCATGCTGAGAAACTTAATGAGCCATCACACTTTGTGTTACATTATATCCTTGTGCATAATCATATTTTCAGGCACCAGCCACACTGAATAAAGTAATAGAATTACTATGAGCATGGCAGTGAGCAAGGGGATATTATTAATATAAGACTGGGTTCTACTGACCGCAAAATACATATTAGATTTTCAAATCTATTGGGATAGGGGTCAAAAACAATTTGCAAATCTTAAGATATCGTTCTTGAAAATGTCTTGTGCTTACATCTATGTCTTCCTCCTCTTCAAACAGAGCCTAGAGTAAACAACTGTCATTGTTTTTTCATATGGATACATACTCTTCACCTGCTCCAGTGCTAGTCATGAAAGTATGCTTATAGAACACATTCAATTAACTGTTTCCGTCTTGAGTTCTAAATATATGGAACACATTCATGAAGCATACAAAATCCATAGCAAAATAGAAGTTGAAGGTCAATCTGGTAGGAGCACTTTGGAAAGCAATTTTTAATGCCTCATTTAACTCATACTAATGATAATTATTTTCCACAATCATTTTAACATTTTGTGCACTGTAAAATCTCAAAATAAAAGAGGTTTTTTAAAGGATAAATTGTACAAAGCTTTACCTGGTCACGTGGTGTTACCAAAAGAAAGAAACACTTTTCTATCAGACAAAATCCATGAATTCCTCCAATTATTCCCAAAAGTTTCCAAATATAATCTTTCCCCTCATAGAAATGTTCTACCTCCTGTGCTTCATGTTTATGTAAACCAAGAGTCTAAAAAAAAGAGATAAAGTAAAAAAAAATTTAAAATGGCAATGTTTTAATTTTTGCTGGAGTAATCCATAATGTGTTAATTCAATTTATTATCAACATTTTCTTTTGCCCCCTCTTTTAAATTTAAATTGTCTTTTGAGCTAATCACCTGAATAGTAGATGAATGAAATGAACTATTAGGAGCCTCTGCTACACTTCATCACCTCTCAAAGGTGAAAGTAACATTAGTATTTTTAGAGACAGTTTTATGAAATTGCCCTTTATATATATATTTTTGGTATATTTTGTTTGGAGTATATTGATATTTAAAGTCTAAAAAGTGACTTGCACAATCTTCAGATGTAAACTTCATATTGAAAATAATCCATAAAGCTTTCTGCTGGTGGGTGTGCTTCTATTTTTTTCCCCAGTGGCACAGCATGGTAGCCCTCCTTTGCTCTGAAAGTGGGCACTTTAAAGGCTACTGGATACGTCACTCAAAACTGGTGAAGGAGAGTACTTTGACACTCAAAAAGTGTTTCTTAAAGAAATTCATTTGTCTGACATTCACTGAGAATTGCCTTCCTTAAACCACTCTCCCAGTTCTGCTTCCAGAGATGATGTATTGAGTACAAAGAACATTTTTACCAGAATCTCAAGTGAAGGTGTGAAGCTCTCTTTCAATGACCAGTTGAAGCCTACTCATAACAGTTGTGTCATATCAGAGGAGACTCAGACAAAAATAAATGAATACACAATGGGAAATTTGGTTCTGTTTTACATGCTATCCCATTCTTAAAATTTATTTTAATAATTTAGGAAAAAATCATAGCATCCATTTTATTACAGTTCTAGGCAGCAGGATTAATTAGGCTGATAGCCCCTGGTTCTCTGGAACAATGTGTGGAGGGGACTGTGGATGCCTCGTACAACCTTTGAACAATTTCTCCTAAAATGCGTTACACATCTAGAAACCTGGCTTGCACAGGACTTGTGGGTTTTCTGAAAAGTTTTTGTGAAAATAGGAACTTTATTTTCTCTGAATTCATCGCTCATTGATTTCTGCTTCTTACTACTTGGAATCTCTCTCTGAACTACAAAGTGTAGATGTAATTGGAATGCTGGGTAGTTGGTTCACAGATTTCATGGAAAGCTTGCTTTTTAAACAGATGAGCATTAGCCAGCTTTAAATGAAACTTTTCTCTGTGTGTGTGTGTGTGTGCGCACGTGCGTATGTGTCAACATTTTAAAAACACAAAAGTGTGTATTACCTACCTGCGGAATAAGGTGTAGCAATGCATCTCCGGAAAGGGTCCCAACAGCCAAACCGACAAACAGCTGTAAAATGAGTGTATAGATTTCTTGACAGGAGTTAAATAAAATGAGGGTTGTACCAAACATAGATCCAATAGTAATAAGTAAAACAGCAACAGTGCTGTAACCATATTCTGTAGGGAAAAACAAATGAAACAAAACAAGGGCACCTTTAATCATTCAGTATTTGTATTTATGTTTGACTATTTGTTTTGTGTTTGTATTTGGTTTTGAGACTATGTTTTGCCACCTCTGTGTACGAGCACAGAGAGAAGTGATTCATTGTCCCACATACATTTTTCTAGTCATGTGTGATACAGGTGACAGAATTGGAAGCCTAAAAAGCATTCATTTTTTCAGGCTTTACAGGTAACACAGTCTAATGCTTCCAAGTTTCAGACCTTAAAGAGCTAAATAGACCGTGACTGTGCAAATTAGAGACACTCAGAGCAGCACAGTGAATGCTAGTCTGCATTTATTTCCTCTCTTAACAGATTTATGCTTGTTATTGTATGTTCTCACATGCCACACCTGTGTATCTTTACAGTCAACACCATATTATTAACCAAATCATATTCAGTAAACAAATCAAGGCTTAAAACCTCAGATGAATGTAGGCATCTAATTTAGGTTCTAAGCATAAACTTTTTGGTCCAAATTATGTTTACATATGTGCTGTGGACATACACTCCTTTAGTTACTACATCAGGACCACCAACCTATTTTTCCCAGGTTACTGGCATTTTTGGAAGGTTACTCTTATAATTCTTCAGAGTTACACGCTGCTTACATTTCCAACCCTTTGCACAACATGAATCCTGATTAATCTGTATGAAAGTCTTATGGTGGAGGTAAAACACTGATGAGAAACAGACATAAAGGAACTAATGCCAAAATATTCAAAAGTGTCACTTAATGTTTCACACTTTAATAGCACTGCAAGTGCTCAGCACCTCATAAAATCAGGCAGTAAATTTCACAGACCGCACATCCAAATACAAGGGTATAGTAGATATTTATGGAAGGTCAGGCCTTGATGACTTAGCCAAAACAGCACAGCCTGTCAGTAAAATAGAACTGAGAATAAAATTAATAAGCCTATGGTCAGGTCACTAGGTCACACATAGGTCAAACATGAAGTCCTTTGTCTGTCTCAAACCAGCAGAAGGGTCCCTGTGGTCATGGAAACGTTCCTTTGCCAAAAAGCACAGGGAAAGGGCTGCAGAAAGGGCTCTTATTAATTCCGTTCTGTGTTTGAATAGTTCAGCTTTTCTCACCTACACAGATCTCTCTCCTTTATGAGATCACTAAAAAGTCATTGACTGGGCTGATGGCCTTGGACTTGGGAGAATCTCACTCAACTGTGAATTTGCCATGAACCTTGTCTACGACCTGGGTAAGTTCCTTTCTTTCTTTGTCCCTTGATTCCCCATCTGAAAAATGGGCATATCCGTGTAGCATGGAAAAGATAAAAGCCCTACACAGATCTCTCTCCTTTATGAGATCACTAAAAAGTCATTGACTGGGCTGATGGCCTTGGACTTGGGAGAATCTCACTCAACTGTGAATTTGCCATGAACCTTGTTTACGACCTGGGTAAGTTCCTTTCTTTCTTTGTCCCTTGATTCCCCATCTGAAAAATGGGCATATCAGTGTAGCATGGAAAAGATAAAAGCAGTAAAGACTGCAATGTGTTCAGGTAATGAGAAGAGAGAGAACATAAGAAAGAAGGACTGCTGCCTTCTGAGGAGCTATAATCTTTCTTCCTATTCTGTATGTTTCTTTCTCCTATAACCATTCTTGGGATATCCACAAGTGTCCTTCCATGCCCTTATCTAAAATGTTTTTTTTAATTCACACTCATAGTTCAATTAATCTGTACACCATGGAATGATAGCTCAGCTCATTCCCACAAGCTGCTTAATGTATGAAGCTGAAAGTACAGATAGAATTTAGAGATGGAAAGTGCTGTTCCATAAGGATCGTTGGCCAGCAGGATATAGGGAAAGCTTACTAGCTCCTAAAAGATCTAGTCATCTAGAGCTGGCCATGTAGATACTAGGATAAAGGTATTGAAGGCATTGATTTGTAGCCTAAAAGTGTTGCTCCTGATGCAGGTGATTACGGTTAGATGCCCATTGCTTTTTGCTCATTCCCAGCTCCCAAATTCCCCACCAGAAATTAACGCCCCCGCCCCAGCACACCTAGGTTTGTAACCACTTCCCAGATATCACTGGTTTAAAGTAAAAACAAAACCAGGAAATACATTAAGAAGCCCTTAGGTCAGATCAGATTCAGATTTTTTTTTGATAGGGTGGACTAGGGATTGGTTACAGGAGAAGTTGAATCAGCAGAACAGATAGGGCAGAAATCCCTGTAAGCAGTGGCATGTGAGGGCTACGACTGCAACTGGAAACAATCTGATTATACTCTAACTCAGTTCTTGTTCCAGCTCTATCACACAAGTCCTGCTGCCCATGTGACTGGTTTTCTGGTTGTTTTTCTTCCCACAGTAGTATCCCCAAAGCTTCTCTGCTGTAAAATACCACAACATGAAAAACCAGCAACATTCACACAGAACTTATCTATGTCAAGTATTTGCCACATCATGGTATAAAATGCAGCTAACATAGCCTTGAGGCTATATGTAAGAGCAACGTAATGATTCCAGTATAAACCTAGTGGAAATTTCACAAAATAGGTCATTACTGCCCAGCAACCCACTGATAAGGACCTGTCATGGCTCACCTGCTGCCTACATCAAGCAGTCCTCTAAGAAATGAAGAAAATAAAGCCTAAAACCTTTCACATTGAAATAGAATTCTGTCTAATATAAAATTGAGACCATTGAATCCCCTCACTTTTCAATATAGAACTATTATCTGACATGTATGCTATGAAATTATAGAGTGCATAAATGACAGAGTGTATAAATTTCATCATGTTTTGGTTTAAGTTTATTAACGAATGAAACGTCTCCAGAAGTTAAGCCCCTGCACCCCTTTATTTGAATTTTCACAATACTTTACTGATAACAACATAACTCACTTTCCAAAGTTGTTGGTGGAAGCTTTGTCTGCCTGGAGTCAGGAAGCTGACATGAACAACTTAATAGTTGCTGAACGATAGCTGGACTGATTTGCTTGAAGTGGTCCTTAGAAATGGAGGAAGAACTATTTTTAAAAAATATAGTCACAAGTTCACTGGCAGAGAAGCAAACCTATGTAGAAAAGTATATACAGTTACTGAATATGTTGCATATACCTGCATTTAATGCTGAGGTTAAATATGGAATCTTAGAAGAACACGGGGTTATACAGCCTAGAAAAAAACTTGTTTTCCATATACTCTTTTCTGGTTAAATTACTTTAATTGCTTCAATGACTTCTAATTATTTTTTGTTTTTCCAATTAAAACTTGATACTGCTATATATTTCAGAAAGACCAGAATCTTTGGGATGAAGTAGCACAATTTCTATTGAAGCCTGTTAATATCATGAGGATCTGACAATAATATCTCTAAATATTTTAAAGCCATATGTGCTAACAAAAATAATTTAATGCTAACACAAATCATATTCTTAGCTATTAATGTAAGACTGCATTAATAGCCTTAATATTGCTATTGATGTAAGATACTGCCTGTATCAAGGCAGTACTGAAATTTGTCCTTGTGCTCTGTCTTTAGTAAGATATGGAACTAAGTTGTTTTTTTAAATTCTTTTAACAATGACATGTCACTTTAAGGTCAGCAAACTAGATGTTACATAGTCTAAATTTGGTCTAAAGATTACTTAATAGTTGTATTATCAGAGGTACTTAAGAATTACAACTAATTTTTGTTCTTTATAGAAACGTCTCTTTGTCAAAAAAAGGCACTTTCCTTGAGAACATTTGTATTTTGAAAAATTTTCATAAGAATTGTTTTTTCATCTCCAGGATGAAACTTCTAGTAAAAACGTGAGCAGTTAGCATTAGAACAGTTCTAGTGGCAATTTCTGTAAGAACTTTTAAAAAGAAGAAGTCCAGATGAAATATGCTATCTTACTTAGAATCACAGAATCATAGAATCATTAAGGTTGGAAAAGGAATAATCTTCATTTCTTAATCTCACCTGATTAGTTGTGACTCAATTCAGAAATAAATATTTGCTTCTTTAATTTAAATTAGTCTGCATCTGAGAATCAAGGGATTCCTAAATATTCTTTTTCTCATCACTGAAGCTTAGGTTTCTTTTGAAAGAAAATTACTATTTAAATAAAAAACTTGTAATTATCATTACTTTTAAATAACCCAATTAAAACCCAACACCTTCCTATCTTTGTTCATCCATTAGTAAAGTAAAATATGTCTTGTAGCTCACTAAGAAACTGAATGACTTGAGCACTGATACAGTTATTCTGAATACCACATTCAAGTCTGGAGGATAACAGGTGATCTTGCCACCTGGATCTAGTCTGTTCTGCCTCCAAGCAGAAGGAGAGCATGAAGACAATTCAGGAGCTACCATATTGGAAAAGATCTTCAGTTTGCCGGTTCTAGGCAGTGGTTTTGACTCTAGAAGTAGGGAACACCAACAAGTGGTATCAGGTTGGAAGTCTAGCTCGTGGCTGGTTATGAGCAGCATTCCTCACTGGTCAGTACAGGGACTGATATTATTCAATGCCTTCACCAATGACCTGAGTGATGGAACGGAGTGCACCATATCGCATTCACGGATGAAATCCAACTGGGACAAGTAGTCAATATGCTGACGGGCATGGCTGCTATTTAGAGAGATCTTGACAAGCAAAAGAAATGGGCTGACAAGACCTTAATGAAGGTCAGCGAAGACAAATTTATTGTGCTTCAAATGGAATAACCCCATGCACCAATAAAGGCTGGGAAAAACTGACTGGAAGGTAGCTTTACAGAAAAAGCCTTTGGGGTCCTGACAGACAACTTGAAGATGAGTCACCAGTGTGCCCTTGTGGCAATGAAGGCTAACTGCATACTGGGCTGCATTAGCAAGAGTGTAGCCAACAGGTGGTGGAAAAAGATTATTGCCCTCCACTCAGGACATATGAGTCCACATCTGGACTATGTCCAGTTTAATAACCAGCAGTACAAGAAAGACATTGGCAAATTGGGGGAAGTCCAATGGAGGGCCACCAAGATGGCTAGGGAACCACAGCACATGATGTGCAGGGAGAGGCTGAGGGATCTGGGTTTGTTCAGTTTGGAGAAGAGAAGGGTTGGGGGTTATCTTAAGTATTCAACTATCTAATGGGGGTTATAGGGAAAATAGAGCCAGACTCTTCTTAGATGTGTACAGCAAAAGGATGAGAGGCAATAGGTATTAGTTGCAGCAGGGAAAATTCCAATTTGCTATAATAAAAAAAAAACCATCAAAATGAGGGCAGTAAAGCACTGGTACAGGTTTCCCAGAAAGACTGTGGAACCTCCATCTTTGGAGACATTCAGAATCCAACTGGACACGGCCTTGTGAAACTTGATCTGACTTTGATGTTGGCCTTGTTTTGAGAAGTAGGATAGACAAGATGAGGTCCAGGATTACTATGAACCTAAATTTTAATATGATTTTATTATCAGGAATTTTAAATGAAAAAGCAAGATCTTATCTGGAAAATAAACTGTCCACCCACACATAAAAAAAAAAAATTCTTAGTGCTTTTTTAGTAAAATGTTCTTGTAAGACTTGAGGCATGAGGACCTGCATCTTTTCCAGTTGCAAGCCCTAGCCTTTTAAGCTTTTTAACATAGGGAGGCAGAGTACTAAGTCTCCATTAGTAAAGCAACTATGTGTGTACTCCTGGAGGATGATACTGAAGAAACAAGTACATCAAATTTGCATATTCTCATACGAAAAACTGGATGGATGGATGGATGGATGGATGGATGGATGGATGGATGGATGATTTTGGTTTCCAAAACCAGTGTTTCTTTAATGATGCATAATAAATGAATACATAGATATTGCGACATAGTTTAATGGAACTTAGTATTATTGCTCTTATTAGATCATCTGCTTACTTGTTTTATATGCATTTTTTAAATCAGTAGAGACAATGATGACTTAAAAAGAAAGCAGAGACCTTTTTTCTGTGATAATGTTTCAAAATACAATTCCTATCTAAAAATCAAATTACAGATCTTAATGTAGTTAGCAAACACAATCCATAAATGAGTCAATGCTTCATATGTAGCAGCATCTGTTACTAATGGAGCACAATGGCTATTGTAGATATGTGCAGAAAGCAGGAGACAAAATTAGCAACGCAACACTGAAACACAAAACCTTCTAATGGAATGATATGTCAAAGAAAATAGACATAGCTAGAAAGAAGAGGAATGGAATAAAAACAAGAAACTAGGAATTAATACAGATGAGAAATTCTCTTCTCTCCAGATGTTTCTTTGTGATTTTTTTCATCTATACAGAATAGTTGGCTCTCAGTTTGACTCCCAAGCCTCAGATAACTCCCCTGCACACTTATCTTCTGAGTTACAGTCAGTCTCAGAAGTTCAAGAAATTAAAAACTGTGGTTTATTGCTGGAGAACAATTTTACTTCCTGTACAGATAGTATCACTAGTGATTTCTGTCCTTTATAATTTAAAATTAATACAAAACACATTTAAAATGACCATTTAAAATTGAGACCCCATTAAATGTCTCATCATGCTGTTCAGCATGATTCTCTTTTGTGGTCAGCTGAAAAGAAATAAACGTATTGACAGAGTATGTATTCCAAATGCAATAAAATTACACAGATAAATATCTATCAGAATGGTATTTAACCAGATGCCATTTGTCTCAGTTCCACATCATAAAATGACCACACAGCAAAAGTCGATTGCACATCGCTTATTCTCCTAAATGGAGAAGAAACATTGTCTTTGAGTTATCTTAAATTGTAAAGAACTGAAAACAATATAAACATATTCTTTGAAGTATATATTTGAAATGTATACGTCAAAATATATACAAAGTATATACTTCGAAGTCTCCTTTTTTGTCTAAGGAATGTCTTCCAGTCTAAAGGATGGAAGTCAGTTACCATCTTAATCACTGTTATAAACAAAATTTATGTATTTTCAAATATTTAGGATAAGGATAAAATCACCTGCAATGAGCCACTGTCCTTCAAAGCCCTCAAAGAGGATACTGGGTATTAGCTAAAGTTCTGTCTTACAGACTCTATACTTTCTAAAGGAGGCTTCTGGACTCCATAGATGGCTATTAAAAGCATTTGGAAATACCCAATCTTCAGTTTACAGAAGCCTTTTAAAAACAACTTACACAGAAACCTTAATTTACTTTTTTTCCTTAGTACAGAACAACCCTTCTTTCTACAAGTTCACTTAAGGGGCCCTAGAAGCTCTGCGACATAAAAGCACAAGAAATCTCTAATAAATGTGTGAAAACGTTGAAGCCATGGTACTACAGTCCTCTGTGTCTTGAAGAAACACCTGATTCCACCTAACACTAACTATTCTGTTAGCCCCTCCCAGCTACTTTAATCACACATTCAACATCCACAAAGTTCTTCCCCAAATTAATATTTAAACAAATATAACTATATAAAAATGTATTTTATCAGTATCTACATGACTTTTTGAAACTAATAAATTTTACCTCAGAAATAATGTAGTGTTTGCAAACCAATTTGGACTTTTATCACTGAAATTCTGTGACCAATAATATAATAACATAAAAATAAATTAACCTGGTCCCAATCTGTGTTCTCTTCACGATCTTCAAAATAACCTTTCAGATAGTCTCCTTTTGTATGGTTTCCTTTGACTGGAATATTTCTGGTTCCAATATCTCTGATTGCCATACTATAACGTCTTCTTTTGTGACTGTGGAATTGTCCATTTACAGTGCAGGTCTTTTTGGCTGTAAGCACATTTAGTAGTTGTTCTAGTTCTAGTAATTCATTAGAAAGCAGATATGTTACCATGGGAAAATACACATTTAAAAATATAAAACCAAAAGTAATTGTTAAAATTTTGTTAGTTTTAACATTATTTCAACTCCTAGTTTTAATACTTTTTTCTCTCCTCAGTTTGGTACTGTAGGTAGTTTCTGTTTAACACCTCTAGAAGTTCAAGACACCTATATACTCAGCCTTTCCTTCTTTACAGTACCACACTCAGATGTTTTGCCTATGACTATCTCAGAGGAAAACAGATGTGACTGAAAGGCAATTCATCTTCCATTTAATCATCAATCTCTGCCAAAGTCATCTACAAATTACTGCTAAATAGCTTCACCGTTCTTCAAATTTTCCCATGTAAATGGAACACCATGCTAAGACGCCATAGCCAGGTATTTGGATAGTCCAGAAAGACCAGGAAGACAGATCCTTTATAGGATGTCCTGAAAGGAATCTTCAGGATGCTCTGCTGCCCTTCGCACTTCAGAAGTGGAACACGGGGCAGCGGATTTTCTCTCTCTGGTTAATCTGGAAGCGTGCCTGTTTACAGTGCTGAAGTAGGAAGGAGGGAGCCAGGATCCCTAATCCAAACCTGAGACAATGCAGGGATGTATCCCATGACATAGCCTGAGTGCAATGGGTGTGCCTGCTGATGAAATGCTTGGTTATATGAGGGGGCATGCTCTATCCTATCTTACTTATCACCTTCCTTCACCCCTGCATTTTCAAGATGAAGCCATAGTGATAGTATCTGTAAACCTGAGTTTGTCCATCGGAAACAAAGGCAGTCCACAAATTAATTTCAAAAGAATTTAGATCAATGAGATTAAGAATGTTTCCACATGATAATCCTTTATTTTTTAATGTTGTTATTCAGAAAAAGCAAATGGTATAATCTTAACGGTAAATCTTACAAAAAGGCTTGTGATAAGATGTTTATCTGCTTTCTTTGTCTTGAGCAAACAGATCTGAACGGAGCTGAAGCTAGATTTTTTTTCTAAATGTAGTCAACTTTAATTTTCTTTTTTTCCATGCTGCCAGTTCCTTGCTCTTTCCTGCAGTTACTATTAAGAATTTAAATAAATTTAAAGGGACAATTTAATTAGCTTAGGCTTAAAATATACTTAAACTGTAACAAACTGGTTAAGAATATTTTTTTCTTTCTCTTAACGACACCTGAACTCCACCAACCATAAAGTCTTGCTATTGTCTTCACTGGGGCCTGGATTTCGCCATATATAGCTATTTAGTAGCACTGTGCCCAGATGGCTCCATCCATTCTTGTGAGACAATTATTCTAGAAGATTTGGCTTGGCAATTTTAAAGGAAGGATTTTGCTGCAAAACCTATTTATGCAAGTACAATCTAGGATTCCAAGTTTAGGGCTGAGGATTTTGTTCTTTTTTTATTATTTACTTCTGTGATTCAATGTACCTCTGTGTAACCCAAGAGTGGTAAAAATGTTTTTACTTATGCTTAATTCAACTTTTTAAGCTGTTTTAACCCATACTTAATGTAACTTTTAAAAAGTGCTTTGAAAAGTTTGTCAAGTGTTGCTATTAGCAGTTACCACAAACAAGGAAAAGTAGATGTGTTATAATAACCTTCTAAATCCATACTAGGCCCAAGTTGATGGTTTAGCTTCTTAAATGGCTAAGCGTGCAGAATCTTTTACAGAACTTAACAGCAGCTGCTGAGAGCTCAACACTTATGTTTTCTATTTTTTTTTCATTTTTGGACCACTTTGAACTCTCCTATACTTCTATTTATTTATGGTCAAGTAGCATTTCTGATACATCTAGCAACAGAGCTCCTGAACAAAATGAACTTTGCATATTCCAGACTCACTGACTGGGTACTAAGATCAGAAGGTGGGTAGGGAAGTATAAACCTTAAAGAAGTTTTCAGGTACAGTAGGCAGATATCAGAGAGCATTTGGTCAAAACAGAGTGGTCTGTGTCTATTTCATCTTTTCTGGGGGTACATCTACACTGAGGTGTGAGTGACTAAGGTGTCTAATCTGGCTACCGTACATGAATTATCCCATCTACCCCTAAATGAGTCTTGCAATGTATCAAGATCTGCATAAAGAAGCAATGTAAGCAAGGCCCCAGTGAACTCTGCCTTCACAGCTAGATTGCCACTCTCAGAGCTCTCTTGGGTAGTTCAGACTGTGCTGAGCAATTAAGTCATAAATTAATGTGATGGTACACATTTAATAATCACAGTAACAATTTGTTTTATACCTCTCAGAGAATTATCAAAATAAGTTTATTTTTCAACCTTGTTTTTCAATTTAGAAGAGACTACTTAACAGCTTTAAAATGAGATGGCATTTAAATCTAAAATGAAGTGTAAAAAGTCCTTTAGGCATTTAAAGATAGTTTACATCAAACGTGTTGCAAAAGGCAACTGGAGACGGTTAAATAGCTTACCTGTCACTTGGAGCTCAGTGGTACTGTTTAGAGAATTGAAAATATATTTTATAAAGAATTCTGGGGAGGGCAAACTTGCTTTCCCCATACAGACTCCTTGGAGAGCTAGAGTAATGATTAAAGCAGCCAGGCGTGGAAGAGTGTTTTCATCAGCACCATCTCTGTCCATTATTTCAGCATTTTTCTCCAGAGTACTCACATCAACACACTGAAATCAGGAGAAAACAGCATGAAGACAGCCCTGGTCACCTCCATTTAAATAATCAGAGTGACAGGAGGAGAAACTGGAGAGAACACTGTCACAGACACCCAGGGTAGAAAAAATACTAAGATTAAAGCTATAATTGACAGCAGGACAGCAAATGTGAAAGAGAGGACATTTTCAGGAGAACAGGTATAGAATAAAAAAGCCTGACATTTTATTCAGTGTCTGATGGGGAAGAAGTATAGTCCTTCATTCAGGTTATTTTTGCTTAGTGTTATTTTCATGCTGTTTCTATTATCCCTGTGTCCTCCTCAATTGCATCTACATCTACTTCCAGAAAGTGGCAGAAAAGGGAGGAATTTTTGTTAAGGCACAAGAAATTGACTCAAATAATACAGACTTTAACTCTTTATCTCAAACTTCAGAAAGAGTTCTCTCAATGTTTTTAGTTCCCTATCTATTAAGTGGAATCAATAATTTGTTATGGGGCAGTTATCTGGGGACAATATGGAAAGATATAATTCTGCAGATAAAGGGTGACTTCCTTGCTGGGTGACAAAACAGGAGCAGTAGACCATCGTGTACATCCATGTGTGTGGATGTGTGCAGGTCTGAAGTGAGGGAGCAGGGTACAGCTCTCTCAGTTACCTGGAAACTTATCCCTGTTTTCTTCCATTTCTGCCTTTCTTGGTTATTTTCACTGCAAACAGTTGGGGTTTGAGAGAAACAAGAAAAATTGGCGAAAATTATTTAAGTTCATTTGTCTCTAACCCATATTAACTAAATTGAAAAGTCAACTAGATGAGCAAGTACAGTAATATTTTATTTTACACATACTCATCACTCTATGTATATGCCTTAAACACTGCAGAGAGGAGGCTGGCATTTCTTTGCCCATCCATCCATTACACATTTATATTTCCACACCCCGAAATTTCATCTCTCATTTAAAATAATATATTAGATACTATGACTTAGAAGAGGATATTTAAACATATAAAAAGCCACTAAAAATGCTATTCTTCTATTACTACCCTGCATCATTGGCCCTTTTCCATTACACAAGTGTTGTGATTCTAAGCATTAGATAGTCTATAATGTTTTTAGTACTTTTCATAAAAAAAACCTGTTTTCCCTCGTGTCAGTGAGTGGTGAAGTCTCAGTTACTGAACAGGCTCGACGACTGATTATACTGCCAGCATAAACAAACAGACCAGACAGTAAAGCACTTTATGGATTGTTATTCTATCTTGACATGCCAAATACCCACCGATGTCTCTTTACAGTTGCCCAGATACCATTGGAGTTCTTGGAAATCGGCACGTTCACCAAGACTCAGAACCAAAAGTGCTGGTCAATGAATAATTTATGATGGGAAACAATTACACAAAGAACACAGAAAGAGGAACTGGAGGCCCTCAGCATTCTGCTGCACAGCAAGGACTCCTAGCCATCTTCTGTTTGCGTACAAAATTCTACTACAGTATGGTGTAAATTAAAATCTAATGAAATGAAAAAGGGCAAATTCAAACTTTGCAATAAACCAAATTTAATTGTATATTATGAACAGATCTAGGGGCTTCTCACAGCAGGTCAACCTGTACTTTAGGAGTTATTTAATCTGGCAAAAACTTATTTTATTGCCCATTACAAGGAAAGCAGTTTTTCTTTAGATTGTGAACTCTAGCATATTATTCTATTATTTTATAGACCTTACTTGAGATAAGGAATAATAAACAGTGGTGAGAAAACTTGCTGCATGTTTTCTGACTTGAAAAGGATGTTTTTAGCTGAATATACTTAATATGCTTTTTTTTTTTAACTTTAAATTTAAGCTTATCTGTATCACTCTTTCTACAAGGCATATTCGTGCTGGTAGATAATTAGTCACAAATGTATGTGTCCCAACTGAAGGAAACCATCATATCTTTGGACAGATTCCTTATTCCACCCTGCTTTGGATGGACATGGGAGTGCAGGGCCTGGCAAGGATCTCATCACAGCAAAATGATTCATCATTTCTGCTATACAGCCAGATCAGTTTTGGAGCTGTTCTGCTTTATACCATTTAAATACAATCACTGCTAGTATATCTATACTAATAAATACAAGAGATGAGAAAGTATTTTCTGTCCTTGAAGCCAAGTGCAAGATTTTGCATCTACACAGCTATGCTCTTTTCCATCTGCCCTAAGCAGGGCAACTGCATCTAAATTACCTATTGGTAATGGTCCCTAATATGCAATATCTCCCCAACCATGTCTCAGTGGACTCTGTGGAAGTGCTAGGTAGCACATGCCAAAAGCAAGTGAAGGAGAAGGCTAGTATTAAACAGCATGTACAACAAAAGACCAACGTTCAGCCTGTGCTCTCACACTGTTATTTACCAGTTTTCTGGAGGACCATGATACTGACACAATGTCTGAACTAGCTTTAAAGGCATTATATTAGTAAAAAATATGAATTTATTTTTACTTATGTTTTCTTTACCTGGGTTTCAGAAGTTTTAAAATGTTGCCTTACTGCAGCCAAAATATCTTCAGTTTCATTCCGTGAAAAATAATAACAGTCTTCATCATGTCTTAAACTAAGCATACTCTGTAGGTAAAATTTATAATCCTTATTATTCAAGCTGAGTTCTGAAGAACACACATCTCTGTGATGAAGAATGTAGTAGAGAAGAATAAGAGAAATTCTCTCAAATACTTCTTCACTGAGATGGTCGTCTAAATCTCCACCAGCTACTAGTAACAAAGCATCTGGTTCAAGGCACTGTGAAAAAACAAAAATAAACGGAAATTCAACTCAAGTAACACATTGCCAGTCATCTGCAACTACAATTAGAAAGGAGAACAGGAGAATTCAACTCATATTTAAGGGATCGAACGTAAGCCTACATAGATGCAGGCTGATAGAATGGCAGGAGGAGGGTGCAGGTAATTCATTGCAGTTCTATGGCTGCAAGATCACACCGTGGTTTTTTCCAGAGCCCCTTCCGGTTTTAAGTATCCAAGGTCGAGAATTGAAAGTCAGTTCTTCAACAGATTATATTTCTGGTTATAAATATATTAGATAAGAGCTAGGGCTATTCATATTTTCACCTGTGCATTCTGTATATGTTTATATTGTAAGACAAAGACCGTATCTGGACTGTAGTTAATTCAGGGTATGTAAACAGAAGTTATATCATATTCAATGCACTGTTAAGAGACTTAACTGACCCTGCAATCATACAGCTATTTTTATTTTTTCTCAATGAATTCTGTTAACTGGAACAATTCAGTGCAGAGAGCCAGCACAAGGTCTCAAGACCATTTAGTCCTCAAAATGCATTTCAAGAGGGACTGAAATTATATACTCACCCTGTGCAGGCTTTCTATCTAATAACAGATTTTTTAATACATACATACATGCATATATATATATATATAAACACCCCTCCATTTTTCTTGATACAAAGACACTTTCCAGAAACTTTTGCCAGATCAAGCAGAAGTTAGTCTTTAAAATTAGACCAGAAGACTAATAGAGTTCTGTGTCAGGCTATAGGAAATAAGATACTGAATTCCAGAATAAAGAATCTTTCTTGAAGAGATCCTGTAATTATTGTCATTCATTGTGTAGCTGTTTTTTTCCAACTGGCTCCTTTCCAAGCATGTTATAGGTGTGTCAGCTAATCTCAACTATTATGGTGGAGCAGCCAGACTGTACATTTCAGAAAAGAAACTGCAACACATGAAGGTACCATGGGAGGATCAAAACTGCACTCTAATAACTTCGTGAATCCAGACAGAACCTAGTTTGTCAGACTAAATTGTTTGTGGCTACAAGCATGATGTGTTGGTCGGTGTGGATCACCTTGTATGTTAGTTCATTTTCCTACACAGAAGCTGAGTAGAATCAAACACACATTGTTGTGTTCAGAAGCCAATATTCCTTGAAGGAATTGAGAGAGCTGCTACTTTTTAATAGAAATAATTCTAATGAAAATTCTCACAAATACTCAATCTAAAATAAAGAGAACTGTGGATGGTAATTGCCAAAATAAAAAAAAGAACTGTGGATGGTAATTGCCAAAATAAATATTTATACTCGTAAATAAACTAGATGACAGTATGATCCACTATGCTCTGCTTACATTGTCTATCAAGATCTATAATTCTAACTTTTTCTAATGCATGTCTCTGAGCATTAGTATTTGGGCTAGGAGGAATATAGATATTCTGTTTTCTGTCCCAAAAGACCTCAAGTTAGTCAACCAGCCTTTTCAAACACTCAATAGTAATACAATAAACATACTGCATGTAGTGGAAGATTTTCAAAGACTTCTATAACATTTCAAAACCCAGTGAGGATAAATTGTAATCAGTGAGGCTGTTGTTTGCTCTTGCAAGGAAGATGACTGAAAAGGAAATTGCTAAGTGGAAGGAAGCAGGTGCATTGTAAAAGATGCAGCTACTCCATAGTATATGGGTAGCCCCTAGACAGTGACCTTTGAGGAGATATCAAGAGGATATAAACTGGTTAATCACTGTTTTTTTTGCTGTTACTAATATTTTACAGGCATAACCATCTGCATGGCCTTCGTTTAGAAATGCTTATTTGCTATAAAAAAGAGGCCAACTTTGAACCTGGGCACTGAACTCTGAGTTTCTTTTGTTTAAGAGACAAGAAATTAAAAAAATTCTCTTACCACTGCAAGAAATATATGACTTTTGCGTGCTTAGAAGATAAAGAAGTGTCAGATGCCATTCAATAGCTGCCAGCCCCTGCCCAAAGAGTCTTGGGGCCAATACGTAACAACAAACCAAAAAAGGGTCTAAAAAAGTGTTAAACTTCACTGCTTTTAAATATCCATTGGAGACATCATTAAAAATGAAAAAAAAAAAAATCTGAAAACAAAGTCATGTGGTATGACTGGAATCCTGGATTTAGAAGGGAAAGTTGAGTCTGAAATCAATTAGTTATTCCCAACAAGTATGGGAAAGAAAATGCCAAGCTAAGGTGGGGCATTCTGTTTCAAATTTTGATGATCTTGAAGGATAGTGCTTCTTGCACAGTTTTTGCTACCTTGGTTTACCAAATCTTGTTAAATCATCTTGGAAGATTTCAGCACAGTGCCACGTGGCCTGCGTGTGACTGAAGACGCCATCTCTCTCTCATGGATTTTCCACAGGGAACTATGTTCATGTGGCACTGGCAGTACAGGATGTGTGCAGTGTTACACAAAGTGTGACACAGCCAACACTGAGAATTACTGGAAATGGTGAAAGTCCTCAAATTCTTCCCACAGAAAATTTCCAAGATGAAGCCTAAACAGAGTGGAAGTCCTGACCAAAGTAAGCCCTAGCTAAGTTTCACTTAGATTTCTTCCACCCAGGGACACAGTGGGCATGCTCTCCACAAATACATCACAAATACAAGAAAAAATATGGCAATCCAGAGAAGCAAAACAAAGAGGGAGAACAAGAAGGCCTAGACCCCTGTTTTGTGAAGCTTAGGAGGACTCTATACCCATTACTGTTTAATACATTCTGAGCTTTTGATCTGGGTCCATATCTGGTACATATCCATTGCCCATATGTGCAAAGAGAAAAACTGCACAATCTTCTTCATAAAAATTACCTATTTAGGGAGTAACAGGCACCTACATTATTTATGTATGAAATTTCACATTGTGGCTCATATGAAAAATGGGAGCATTTGCAGAATGGGCCAATTAAGTGAGCAGTTGTCTACTGCATGGGAGAGAAAGATCTCCATTTCATTGGCTTGGCAGATTGCCAAGAATAGTATATTCTGAAAGCATTCACCTTTATGATCATCTTTGTAATTCTGATATAAAGTGACACTCTGTTGTATGGAGGTCACTGAACAATGCCAGAGCTAGAGCAACGTTAATCAAAACCAAGACTGACCAAGCCCTTTGTAGTCCCTTTCAGCTAAGTTGCTTGCTTACCACTGTCTCCATCCTACCAGAACCTACGATCTTACTACACTCGTTCCTTTGTCAAATTGGGAATAATTTCTGAAAATATTCTGCACTCAGCTAGACAACCAAACCTTCTGTGAAGCTGTACCCTGGACTATTTCCAGTTTCAATTTGGATTTGTAGATTCATTGTTCTGCCTTTGATTTTCCTTGACCTGAACTGCTTACCAAAACCCTCCCCTAAATCTTGAATATTTCAGTGAAGTGGCACATAAATCTGAGACAATCCTGTCTGGGTTTTATTTTTATGAACTAAAATCCAGAACAAAAAAAAAATGGCAGAACCGGTGCCCAATTTTTACCTGTCTTTCCACAGTGGAAATCCCCTGTGTCCCAAATTCAAGCTCATGCTTTTATAGTTAGATCAGGGTAAAGTAGAAAAATCTCTGTTGGAAAATAAATACTTGACAGCTTTTAAAGGAAAATTATTAGTGTTATGCGACTGAAGCATGGAGTTTTTAAGGAATGCCTTTCATGTTTGGAATATCTCTTCATGAGCTCAACAATAAATGGAATGCCTTTCATGTTTGGAATATCTCTTTATGAGCTCAAACAATAAATATTAATAATTCAGAATGAAACGATTCAAGCAGGGACAAATTTTTGCTGCAACAACAAGCCCTTTACATGTTTAGGTTTTGTATTCAGGAGAGTATCTCTCTAATAAATAATTTTATGACTCACTGACGATCCTGTAAAGATATCCCTCATTAATTGAAGCACTAACCAGATTACAATCCTCTTGCATGCCATAAATCCGCTGTGGGCACTCAGCTCTCTCCAGTAACATTTTGACCAGTTCTCGTGAGTGGTTCATGTGGAGCTCAGTGTTGTCAGCTGCAAGAACGCGTAAAACTTCCATCAGATAGCCTCGGCTGGGAGCATAGCTGCCATCCTGCCCATGCTCTTCCCCAGGCTGTCCTTCAGCAATGAGCACGCTGAATATGAAAGCAGAACATACCACCCCAAGAGCTGGATGCTTGGTCAGAAAACACATCTCCTCTTCCTGCAGTGCGTGATCTGCACTGAATGTTGGATTGTTGTTTGCACTTCACAGCCTGAACTCGAAACCTGAGGAATCTGAATGGTAAAGGGGAAAAAAACCCCAACCCTTTAATTAGTGTGAATGCAATATGTTTGAAAGGATTTATTAATTGCTCGGCTAAGCTGATTTGCAGTGACAAGCTGTTTTAGAACAACAGGGAGCCTGTAACGGCTTTACAGCCCAGAACAGCAGGAAACTAAGACAACCATGGCCTTAAAACTTCTGTAGAATTACCAACAAGAGGTTGACGCAAAGTGCCCTTCCCTCCTCATAAAAATAAAGTGTATGGTTTTCATTTCAGTGTTATGTTATTGCATTCACTAATAATCCTCTTCAGTAAGAACAGGAAAATACCATAGCTTTCACTTTCATTCCATTATGAAACAGGTTTTTAGTAGCAAAAATAGTTGTAAATAAAGATTACTAGTCTAATTCTGATATGAATGTGCAGTAATTATGTTACATGGCAATGATATAGAGCAGGTTTTATTTTCAAAACACTTTATCAACATTACCAAACTCCAGCTATACAACACAAAACAAGAATGAACAGGATGTACTTAAACATTAGTGATACTTTAGGATCATTCGAAAGAGTTACAAAACTAAGGTCATAATTTCATTCCTAGAACTCCGTGAATAAACAAGACAAACACCAGAAGCAACAAGTTTAACTTGTTAACTCTAGATACAAAAGACATTTTGTACTGTAAATCTGCCTTGTCACTATACTTCCTAATATACCATCGCCTCTGCTTTAACAATAATCTATCTCAATATCAAAGCACAAGAAACATAAAAGAGTTTCACTTCTGTTTTCCACAAAGAGTTTTTCATTTTATTGGTGGGCAGATGCTGCAGTGACATACATTTTCAGATGATAATGCACATGTGTTAATCAGCCATACATAAGTTCAGCTTCTTTTAACTGCAATATGATACGTGTGTGTCTTATTTTAAAGGAAAGTCTGCTAACAAAGTACTAAAAATGAAAAAAGAACTGCTGAATTCAAATTGGCATTCACTCAGATAAATGTTAATATGGTTTTAGATGTTAGGAAATCTTTTGGTGTTTAGATATATTTTACTGTTAGCAGTTAGGAATATGTATCATTGTTACGAGGATGCACTTACTTCTAAACATTATTTTCTTACCTTCTGAAGAGAAAAAGAATGTTTGTGTATCTAGCTTTGTGGCCTTCTGAATCCTCAGAAGTATTTAGCTGCTGGAAGTCCAATGTTTTTAAAATTCCTTGATGGTGCTCTGGAAGCTGGAGAGGATTAGTTTATTGCTGCCTTGCAAAGTTTTCAGTTGCTATGGAGAGAGCTGCTCTTAAGGTAACAATGGAGGTGGATAGGAATTAGTACACGTTCTTCTTGGCAAGTTCTAAGCATCACGTTATTGAATGTATTTCACATATTTTAGTAGTTTTATGTAAACAGTCTCCATTTTAGCAGTGCAAGATGTATAAAATCTACTAAAGAATGTATTTAATTACAATGGATAATACATGCAAGCACTCTAACTGTTCTCTACATTACTACATTTTCTGAGCAATTTTACAACAAACCTGAATTTCTTTTTTTCATTGAAACATTACTTCTTTTTGCAAATATGAGAACAGAATAGAAATCAAAATCTTTTCAAGCACCTCCATAGAAAAATGGTATTTTTCTTTGGGAAACACTGTCCATAGAGAACAGGCTCTTTCATCCCCACTTACTCTGTGCCGCATTCGCATCAATTAAAAAAGCTGGGATAGCGCAGACTGCGGTGAAAAAAATTTCTTCTACTCAGATTTTCCAGAGGGATGCTGTTACAAAGTCGACATTTACGTCACCATGCTATTACAATATTATTGCACTGGAAGTTAGTGAAAACAGTCATGACTGACAGATTTCCACAGCGACAGGTACACCAGTCATATCATTCTCCCACCTCCCAAACCTTCAGCGTGGTAATGAAGAATTAGCATCTCAGTTGGCTCAACAAATCCTGTGAAGCAGTAAGCCTGTAGTAATAGAAACGTCATAATTCTCTTTAAAGCTAGATTGACAAAATCCTGGGTTCTAAAATGCCGGTAATGTTTCCTACAAGGTGGTGAGCTCAAAGGGAACAGCCTTGCCTTAGTAAGGCTGAGAACTGGCAACTGATACTGAATATAAAAAAAATTTAAACTGACTACACCAGCTTGAGTGAAGTGCAAAATGTAAACAAATGTTCTCAAAAATACAAAGTACAAGTACATGGAAGTATGTACAAACTCTTGTGTGATCAAGGCTGAGCATTTTAAAAATCAGTCCTATTATTAGATACTCAAGTACAAAACCCCCCCCTCAGATTTGTACCAAAATACCTTTTATTTTACTTCATAAATTACAAAAGATATTTATCAAACTAACATTGCCAAATACGCAACTTTAAGCAAACAAGAATTACAGGAATTTTCATCTCAAAAATTTATTTTTATATTTATGACTGAAAAGCAGAAACACATGATAATACACATCTCCTCTAGCTTTTATATAATTTGCTCTGTGAAACAAAGCTAACTACGTCCAGATTTGTTCCACTAATAAAAATAATTCCTCAGATAATGAGGGAATAGCTTCCAGCACTTAATTCTGGGGATTGCTCAATCTCCAAACACAGAATAGGTTTATCTGTATATAATTTGGTGTTTTGTATATAATTACAAATTGAAACTAAGAATTCATTCTATCCAATTAATGTGTACAAACAGAGGGTGAATTGTTTCAAATTGTTGAGAGAAGCTAACATTTAAAAACACATTTGATGATTTATAACTATTGAAAGCTGCTGAGAGATTTACATACTACTGGCTATATCTTACATTAACGTTTATATTACAGAGTGATGGCAACAAAAGGAAACATTCAGTGTATTAACAAGCAACAGATAATAATTGGTACAAGGTACTACAGCTGATTTCAAAGGAGAATTCACTTCCCTTCTTAAGACTAAGTGTTGCAAACCTTCTCTGGCTTGTAAATGAGTTTCTCGGTGGCAAAATCACTGATGGGGACTCAAGCCTCAACCTCTGCTTTTACCCCTGCCACCGGAGCACTACCTGTGCTTTCAGTCATGCTGCTGTCATCAAAGAATTTTTCTGTCTACACAGCACTTGGGTTACTACTTTTGAAGTAATTGCTAGCATCAATTGCTAAGTCCTTTTGTCAAACCCTTCTGCAGTAGCATGATTCCCCTACTACCTACCCATCCTGATGCTGTGCCAACCGATAAAATGGGACAGTGATAATAAGAGAGCTGTGTAGTTAGATGCCTATTAGAAGTTTGCTGAGATACACAGACAGAAAGAAATCACTGGTACAGTTTAATGTCTTAAAACTTCTCGAAGCACCTATCACTATTATTGTTCTCTCATGTGTTACAAGTCTCTGCCAATTTGGCTCAAATTTGATTGTATGTCTTTTGATAAAGGGGAAAAAATGCCCATGCACAATGGTCGTAATCCAGTGACTCTCTGCTTACTGTAGAATGATAATATGCATGGAAGAAAGAGCCCTCAGAGGAATTGGAGAACTGGGGTAACTCAAATTGAAGTAACTTACCATTCTAACATAACGACAGACTGTATATAGCAAAACCAGAGGCATGATAAACTTCCTGATTAAATAAGCAAATGAATTTTTTTTTTATTCCTTAGTTAAGGACCTTGGCATGATCAAGCAAGGATCTGAGCTCAAGAATTTGCCAAGCTAATCAATCATTTTTAATCAGTTTGAACAGTTACCATGGAGGGATACTTGCAAGAGAGTAACTGATTGCTGACAGGCATAGGTACATGTCCCAGGAAAATAAGTAGAAATAAGATAAAAAGAAGAGCGATAAAAATGGGAACTTCTCAATACTTTTATTTTCATTTCGTGATTGGATTAATGATCATAGAATATGAAAAAAAAATTTGCATATCAAATTTTCTCAAATTTCAAATGCAATCTTTTATGACCTAGAAAGTTCATATAGTAATAACCTAACTTCCATTCTTAGTGAATAGGAGTGAACAGTGTTCTGTGTCTGGCATAACCAGACACGGAACATGATAAGCACGTGCAGCAAGCCCTCTTTGGTTACAGGATTTTTATTTATTTACTTGGTTTTAATTTTAAGTGAACCAGTAAGACTTACTGCAGCTTATCTTGTTGTTTCTCCCACCTCTGCACCTGCTGCGAGAACAAAAGCAAGTTGCCCATTCACAAATGCCATGAATAACTGCACTCTGCAATTTACTGGTTTTCAAAGGATCGGTGAATAAATTATGTAGGAATAGGAAAATTCTTTAGAGAACTCGCTCTGAGATGACAAGGACATTCCTATGAGCTCTACCAACCTGACAAATGGCTTAATTTTATTTGTACAGCAGAATGAGAGAGGATGTAGGCATCATTTTAGCAAGAACCCTGCTGAACTTCACAGCTTACTGAGAAATGCAGCTATATAACTTTTATTCCTTAAATACTGTATAACTTGTTTGACAAACTAAGCAAATGTGGTTTTTGCCCTTTTACTAATCGCAGCAATTATGGCAAATAGAAGAGAATCCTGTGGTACTGCAGATTTCCTCCATGTTATTAATGTGATGTGTGCACATTGCTATAATTACAGCCATAGGCACCATATTGACATATGAAAGAACTACATTTTGCATGTAATTTGTGTAGAATTTCAATATAGAAAGCATCTTTGACAATGAATTAATGCCAGAGTGCTGTAATAAAAAATGTCAGTGATTTAAAATTACCACAGTCTATTCAGCT